GATAATCTTTCTAGGAAATATAGAATTATTCTTATATATCGGAAATGAAAATTCGATATTTATCCTAGTACGAAAAGGAATAGAAATTTCGAAATTATCAGAAAAGGAAATTTGATAATTATCTTCAAGGGAAAAATGGGAATTCCACTTTACTTGGAGAGGAGGTAATTCCGACCCTATATAAAGGGGCCAGAGGTTCTCCCAATTTCTATTCACATCTCCTTCTCTCTCAAAGCATCAGAGCAAAGAAAACCCTAGCTTAGAAATCACGAAGAATGCCTCCAAGGGTGGTACGCGTCGAAGGAAGCAAGCTATGGATCTCCACGATGGAGGATCTGGACTACACTCCGCCACCAACGAGCTGTAGGTAGCAAGAACGGAGCCTCAGCACCGCGTCACGTCCGGTGACCCATCGGTGGGCACGTACGAGAACGGATGCGCTGGTTCCCCCACGTCCGTGGCTAGACCTGATGTATACAAGCCCGGAGGTCATGAAGTAGCTGCCCCAAGATCTTGTTCTGAGTTTCCGTGACCGGATCAAAGCACGATCCGGGGTGTCGGTCGACCGCGACTGGCCAAAAAGCTGTGGACCGTGGTAGGGAGGCCACGACAAGAGGCCGATGGGTTAGAAGCCACGGGTGGAGGCTACGGTGATAATACACCCAAGGGAGAAAACCATGACGCACTGGGAGGAACGTTTCGGCAGGCTAACACAAGGCATGAGGCCTATGGGAGAATACCACAGGGAGTTCATGCTTCTCAGGGATGCGGTCAAATGTACCCTTGACCTCGATATGCTTGCCCGGAAGTTTTGGGATGGTGTGAGGGCAGAAATCCGAGAAGCCTTGGACATACGCCTCTATCCTACTATTCATAGGCTAGCCTCTGACGCAGCTCTACTCGAGAATACTGAGGACGTCTACGAGCCAGCAAGAGGGGAGGAGATGCCAACAGGGCGAAGGATAACCCGTAGCGCCAACATTGACATCCCTATACCACCTGTGCAATGGATGGAGGCTTTCAACGACGTGAATTATATACGCATGCGAAGGGAATGGCTAGATGCGTATCGGAGACAAGCCGACTTAATCATCAAGCAAGAACCAAGGGAAGTAGAGGACGAAGGAGGAAATGGCTGGTTGGTAGAGTCGCAGGATGAATCGGACGAGTGGAGCAGGGAGAAGGGAGAATAGTAGCAGTACATGGATAGTCCGCCAATGGCAACCAGCCCCGGCAGAGACGGAAGTGGCTAGAGGAGACAAGTGACGAATATCTTCGAGCTGGGGTTAGGTTTTTGTTACAGTTTAGTGGGTTTTTGAATTTCGGCTTAGGATTTCTTAATTTCCATGTTGTAATCTATTCTCACCTAACTCAAAGATGTATTGGCTTTCTGTTTTACTCAATAATACAATATTTATTCTAGACTGAAAGTTTAGGATGAGCATTGAGTTAAGTAGGAATGAAAGGACAACGCATCTTAGGAGGTAGGCCCCTAGGGTTGCTTGTCT